GGGGTTTGCTCTGTGTGCCTGGCAGGACTCGGTGACTTCAAAGGACGGTTCAAAAGAAACGACTTTGTAATCAAGGAAGCAAACTGTGTCGTGGGGCTGACTGGGAACAACGGTCCTTCATCCCAGGCTTCAGAACCTGCCTGGTCCCAGCAGTGCTTAAACCCTGGCTTAAAATGGAGGTGAGAGCAGCGCTGGGGAGGTCGGCTGGGCTGCGGGAGCTCCGGAGAGCTGTTTTCTTCCCCATCACGTCGTTGCTGCCCCTGGCTTGACTCTGCCCTTGTTTCAGTGTCCAGCTTGCTGAGGCTGCGGGACTGCATGTTTCGGGGTGTGGGCAAGCTGTTCCTGGCTGTGCCAGAGGCACAAACCTCCCGAGGTGGTAGGAGGGCGTTGAGCTGCCGGCGAGCCTGCGGGCGAGTGACTCGCCAAGCCTCAGCTTTGGCCCACAGAGTCGGTGGGAGCGAGCGAGGCCGGCACCACCGGCGCGCCGATGGATTGAGGTGCCCCACTTGGCCCCAGGGGCCCTGCGCTGGCCCGGGTACCTGTGGGCAAGTGACGGGTGGCATTTGCAGGCCACTGCCTGGTTGAGAGCTTCGATGAAGGCAGGAGATGTTAACTGACCCCTCGCTGCGTCGCTCCCCGAGCCTGGCTGGTTGGTGGCCACCACTGGAGCCCACTGGGAGTGTGGCCATGCCCTTGGCTTTGGTGGACGCTTCTCTGTCCCCGTCTGGGCTGTGCAGGTGGGCAGCAGCCTTCAGCTCGAGCCTTTCCCTTCATGAAAGCCGTGTCTGCGCCTGGCCAGTGGCCGGCCAGAGGGAGCTACTCGTGGACCCACGGGCAGACGTCGGGTTTGGTTTCTGTCCCACCCCTGACTCCATCCTGGGGGCTCGCCCCGGCCCTGCCCTGCCCGCGGAGGGTTGGGGGGAGATCCACGCTCTGCGCCTCCCACGGACACACCTCGGAGGTTTTCCTTGGGTCTCTGCTGGTCTTGTCAGATGCTGATGGATCCTCTTCTGCTTCCCAGGGACAAACCTCGGCTATGCCAGCGCTTGGGCTGGGGCCGCTGCCAGCCGCGGGAGCTGTGCTCGCTCCCCGAGGCTCTGCCCTGGGGCCCCACGGGGGCTCAGTGCCCGGCAGGACGCGGCACAGGGGCTTGTGCTGAGCCTTGCAGTCAGATCCATCCTTGGATTTTTTCAGCAGAGCTGTTGCAGACACAGGGCTGGCTCCTGCTGCCCCTTTTGACTTTCTTGACACAATGGGGGATGCTCCATCAGCTCCCAGTGGGTGCACGCCCGCTTTGCAGCTTTCCTCCTCGGAGAAGGTGGCTTCTGCTACTTCCCAGGGGCAAATGTCAGATTTCCTGCTCTCCGTGATCTCAGATTTCTTAGACGGCTCTTTCCCTGTTGCAGCTTTCAGGGAGAGCTCCTCCATGCCTAGGCTCTCCCGGGGGCAGATGGCCTTGTGCTCACTGCTCCCCCTCTCCAGTGGGTTGGAGGTGCCCAGTTTATTTGGTGGGAGGCTCGCCTTGCCCACGTCAGCTCCTTTTTCTGGAAGAGGTGCATCCACTTCCCAGGGGCAGGTTTCTGCTTTATCATTGGACTCGACATGCTGAGCCTCCCAAGGACAGACCTCTGCCTTCAGGCTCTCCGCGCTCTGGGATTTGCTCGAAGGTGATTTGGGCAGCGCTGGGCTCCCAGAACGGGGCTTTTCTGGGGGCTGCTCCATGCCCAGGCTCTCCCGGGGACAGACGCACTCATGCTCTCTGCTAGCTTTCCCCTTCTTTCCAGTCATGCTGTCTACAATCTTTTTACGGAGTCCTTGACCTATAGAAGGGCTTTTGCTCACATTGGATGAAGCATCTTTGTCCTGTCTTGATTTCTCTGTAGTTGATGGTGAAGCAGCCGCCTCCCAGGGGCAGATTTCTGCTTTATCGGTGGTTTCAAGTTCCCAAGGACAGACCTCTGCCTTCAGGCTCTCTGTGCTCTGGGATTTACTCGAAGGTGATTGGGGCAGCGCTGGGCTCCCAGAACGGGGCTTTTCTGGGGGCAGCTCCATGCCCAGGCTCTCCCGGGGACAGACGGACTCATGGTCTCTGCTTGATGATTTCTTCTTTCCAGACATGCCTTCTACAATTATTTTGCGGAGACCTTGACTTACAGAGGGGCTTGTGCTCGCTATGGACAGAGCATCTTTGTCCTGTCTTGATTTCTCTGTAGTTGATGGTGAAGCAGCCACCTCCCAGGGGCAGATTTCTGCTTTGTTAGTGGATTCCAGCTCCTGAGCCTCCCAAGGACAGACCTCTGCCTTCAGGCTCTCTGCGCTCTGGGATTTACTTGAAGGTGATTTGGGCAGCGCTGGGCTCCCAGTGTGGGGTTTTTCTGGGGGCAGCTCCATGCCCAGGCTCTCCCAGGGACAAACAGCCTCTCTCTCGCTGCTGCCCTTCTCCGGAGATCTCACCGGGCTGGCTAACGCTGCCTGGCGAGTGATGCGCTTGTCCCCCTTGGAACCCCCCCCAGGACCCTGCTTGGCCCTTTGCTGTTCAGGGGGAGTTGCAGCCGCCTCCCAGGGGCAGATTTCTGCTTTATCCTTAGTGGATTCCAGCTCCTGAGCCTCCCAAGGACAGACCTCTGCCTTCAGGCTCTCTGTGCTCTGGGATTTACTTGAAGGTGATTTGGGCAGCGCTGGGCTCCCAGAACGGGGCTTTTCTGGGGGCAGCTCCATGCCCAGGCTCTCCCGGGGATGGACGTTGACCTTCGCTCTCCCCTTGCTCTCCCATTTCTTGACAGTGGCTTTCAGCAGGTCCAGGCTCCTCGTGCTGTACCCTGTGGCGGAGCCTTCCACATCCGTGCTCTCCCAGGGACAGATGGACTCACGGTCTCTGCTTGCTTTCTCCTTCTTTCCAGTCATGGTCTCTACAATCTTTTTGCAGAGACCTTGACTTGTAGAGGGGCTTTTGCTCACATTGGCTGAAGCATCTTTGTCCTCTCTTGACTTTTCTGTAGTTGATGGTGAAGCAGCCGCCTCCCAGGGGCAGATTTCTGCTTTATCCTTAGCGGCTTCCAGCTCCTGAGCCTCCCAAGGACAGACCTCGGCCTTCAGGCTCTCCGCGCTCTGGGATTTACTCGAAGGTGATTTGGGCAGCGCTGGGCTCCCAGTGTGGGGTTTTTCTGGGGGCAGCTCCATGCCCAGGCTCTCCCGGGTACAGACGCACTCATGGTCTCTGCTTGATGATTTCTTCTTTCCAGATGTGCTGTCTACAATCCTTTTGCAGAGATCTCGACTTGTAGAGGGGCTTTTGCTCACATTGGCTGAAGCATCTTTGTCCTGTCTTGATTTCTCTGTAGTTGATGGTGAAGCAGCCGCCTCCCAGGGGCAGATTTCTGCTTTATCGGTGGTTTCAAGCTCCCAAGGACAGACCTCTGCCTTCAGGCTCTCTGCGCTCTGGGATTTCTTCAAAGGTGATTTGGGCAGCGCTGGGCTCCCAGTGTGGGGTTTTTCTGGGGGCTGCTCCATGCCCAGGCTCTCCCAGGGACGTAGCTTTATGCTCTCCACATTCTTGGGTTTCTTGGCCTCAGCTTTTGAGCTCTCAGTGCTTTTCTCAATGAGCTTTTCAAAGATCCTGGTGTCCCTGTTCTCTGACTGACAGCCCCCCATCGCTGCCAGCTTTGCTTTCATATCGTCAGGTCCTCTGGATCCTGAAATCCCACATGTGTCCTGACTCAGTCTCTCCTTCCCTGAAGGAGTTGCAGGCTCTTCCCAGGGGCAGATTTCTGTTTTAGCAAGGGGCGCATGCCCCACTTCCCAGGGATAAATGTCGGCCTTTTTGCTATCGAGGGTTCCTCCTTGCTTGGGTGCTGCTGTGGGCAGAGCTGGGAGTTTTGCTGCGAGTCCCATGCTGGGCTGCTCCGCGCCCTCCCCAGGGCAGGGGGATCCCCTCTGGCTGCTCCCCTTGTCTGCAGCCGGAGCCGTCTCCCCTGTGCCCCCTGGGGCCGCTCTCTGCGGGGAAATCCTTTTCTTCACTTGGGAAATTTTACCATCATCTAATTTTCCTGCGTCAGGTAACGTTCCCCTTTCCCAAGGGCAGACTTGTGCATCGCTGTCAGCTCCTGCCGCTTCCCAGGGACAAACCGAAGCCCGTGGGCTCCTCCAGGTCACTTGTGACAGCTCAGAGCTTTTGGGAGCAGGTTTTGGAGGGGGTCCCTTGCTGCTGGCGCTGCCCCAGGGCTGGCCGGGTGCTTGCAGGCTGCTCCTGCTCTCCTGCGCTCTCAGCAAACCCACTGATTTTGGTCTGATGCTCTTGTCCCGCTTGAGCAGCTGCCTCTGCTCTCCCTCCTGCTTCTCTCGCTGGTGCTGAGCCCCCTCCGCGTCCCAGGGGCAGATTTCTGCTCTGAGGGTCCTTCCTCCTTCCCCAGTCTCCCATGGACAAACCTGAGCCCTCCTGCCCTCCACGCTTTCTGCTTTTTCCACAGCCCCTTGCAGCAGCTCTGGGGTTTTTGCTCGTGGTTTCTCCGCGCCCAGCTCTTCCCTGGGGTGACCAGGATCCCCCTCACTGCTGCCCTTCCCCGGGGCTCTGCCCGGCCCCCAGAGCTCACCCCCACTTTCCTCCCAGGGGCAGATTTCTATTTTAATGCCGGAACGTGCCTGGGTTTCCCCAGAACAGAGCTCTGCCTGTCTGCCTACCACCCTGCCGGCTTTCCCCGCTGCACCCGGGGCCGTCTCCACGCTCCAGCTTCTTGGGGAGACCCTCTCGGTGTCCCGGTTCTCCCCAGGACTGAGGGGCTCGGGCTGGCTGCCCCCCTTCTCCAGCGCCGTGGCCGGGCTCTCCTCGCCTGGTGGGACCCCGGTGTCCTCCCGGGAAGAAACAGCCCCTTGGCGCAGCAAGGCTCCTCTTCCTCCTGGGACACCCGGGGCTCCCCGGGGCCGAACCGCAGCCCCCGGTTTCTCGGTGGCCGCTCTCTGCACGCCGGTGGAGGACGGCTCGGGGCTGCCTGCAACGGGTTTGGCGTGTGGCTGCTGCACCTCGGCACCATCCTGGGGGCAGATGGACCTGCTAGCCCCATCGAGGCCTTCAGCTGGCCTGGCCACCTCTTCCTTCGGTG